ACTATGTAACAAACTAAGCAACACAAAATCAAAGAGAAATTATAATGGTTATGGAATATTTGAATGGTGGATCTCTCTTAAATTAAGCTAATTGTATATACTATGTTTTATATATAATTATAGCCAAATTAACTGAAGGAGATGCTAAACTATATTCGAAATAGATAGTTGATGCAATTGCCTATTGTCATGAAAAACATATTGTTCATTGTGATCTTAAATTAGAAAATATCATGCTTACTACTATGTCTTCTAAAGAAGTAGTTTTTATTAATTAAAAAAATTAGATTAAAATTATTGATTTCGGAGTTTCTACTTATGCTGGACAATAAAAATAAATTGATAATGTTGTAGGTACATTATCCTATCTTGCTCCAGAAGTTCTGTCCTCTTCATATAAATTTATATAACCATCTTAAGATGTATGGGCAGTTGGATGTATAATATATGGATTAGTATTTGGAAGACTCCCTTTTGATGGAAATAATCCTTCTGAAACATATAGAAATATCATTTAATGTAATTACAGTATTCCAAAAAAAACTGTCTCAAAGGATTTAATTAATCTTTTGAGTCAGATTTTTGTTTATCATCCAAAAGAAAGGGTTAATATCTTTGACATTTAAACTCATTCATGGTTTAAAGAATAGACAAAATTATTTAAATTAACTTTAACTGGAATAGGTTTTGGGAATGGTAGATCATCAAGTGTTACTAAATTTAATTCTCATAGATAATCATAAGATGAAGATTAAATATTACTTGTTAGTAAAAGAAAGATTATCTATAGTAGAAGATCTGTTACTAGACTTGACAAGGTATCATTTGTCAATAAAATCAGATCATAATGATATTTATATATGTTTATTGTTTATATATTGAGTAAAATAAATTAAATAAAAATCGAGTCATACTATATCTTCTTCTAACATCCTAATTGCATTCAATAAATTTAGATCTTTATAAATTTCAAAATGACATGCTAGTCAATATATATGATGATTACAATTATCATTAGATACAATATCTACTTTTGGACTTAATCTTACTTATATTTTATAAAATAATTAGTTATACACTAATTTTTATTTGAGTTCTTCTGACTTATTAAATAAAACACTAATCTTAATCAATTCCAAATCTTATTAATTATTTGTTTCACTAATATGAATAAATACTGTTTTTCCATTTTAAAATATCCTAACAAGTGTCTAGAATATGATTACTAGAAAAATATTCAATAGTTATTCATTACTAAAAATATAGATATCTTCAAAAGTACTACTTGAGAATTCAATTTATATTGTTTTATAAGCCATACAATAGATATGTATTAATCCTTTAATCATATCAGTAATATTAATTTATATAATTTATTATTCAATTTCTTGAAAACTATTACATTGAGTATATTTTCCTATGAAATACATGCAATGAATCTTCATTTTATAAATAGTACTTATAGAATTGTTTGATACAATAAGATTTTAAAGTAATTATTATTATTTTTATAAGAAATTGATTGTTAAATTCTAATGTTAATTTATACCTTAGATTAAAGCTGTTTTTACTTTCTCTAAGATTCTTATCTTTTATTCATGTTGATCAAAGACAATCAAGAATACTTATTCTCTTAAATAAAAATCAGAAAATCTTATTATATATTTCTTTGTTCCATAAATTTATTCATTTCTTTGAATCCTTAATTAGAATTAAAAAATCTTCTTATAATCACTACATGTTCTACTTCTTGTTACTAAATATTATTCTAAATTATCATTGCCCATTTTAAAAGATCTCAAAAAAAATCTTAAATTTTCAGAAGGTGCCTTTTCATTATCCCAACAAATTCCTGTCATATCATTAGCAATTTTTAAATTAAAATTCAATCTTTCTTCATCAAAAGTAAACATTACAAATGGACTCTAAATTACAACTGGTAAGGTTTATTCTGTAATTAAATAATATTGATACCCCATTGTTTATCGGAGAATTACAATAAAAAATGCTCTCTTTGAATTTAATCATTCTGATAAATAAAAATTAGTATACTAAGAGTTGTTATTATTATTGATATCAAATCTTATCCCATAAACATATCATTCACTAATGCAGTTATCACACATCTTGAAACAAGAAAGAAAATTAATTATATAGGTGCTTCCTAGATACTTGAAAAATAAAACATTATCATGTTGAAAATCATAATGTTTTATCCACTCAAATAAATGCATTATGGTGTTGAATAATAATTAGCACGTATCTACAAAATACATAAGAGTATATTTGTGAATTAAAAGATAGCCTTCACTTTTTCTGGAGATCCCTTAAGAGAGATAATTACCAAAAATATGCTGTAGCTTGTAAAACCAACTTCCCAATACATAATTTCTTATCTTTCATAAAAAAATGAACTAATTAATCCAACTATCGAAAACAAAAGAATCAATATTGCCAGTATTTTCTTTATCCATAAATATTTCAATAACCTATCTTTTTAATAAGCTTATTCAATTGTTGGATGTGAAAACTGTAAAGTGAACTTCTTTCTCATATAATTTTGATAATTTTAATATTCAATCAATCAAACTCATTTAATTAACTTCTTTATAAGAACTCCATAAAAATATTAAAATAAATAATAAGATAAATGTTTTCACATTAAATTGACATATTAATTACTTCTAATTAAATAATCAAATAATTATATCATCTAACTCTATTAATAAAATCATTATATTGAGATTTAAACAATATCTTAACTTAATATATTTTGAATTCAATAAATATTACCATTTTCAACCTTATGAAATTTTGCAATAATGATTGCTTACATAAATTGATATTTGATAGATGAGAGATAAGATATTAATCTATAATTATTTAATTAAATACATACAATATATCTTCAATTTTCCTAATTTAAAATTTTAATATTCTAATAATCAATTAGTTAGTATCAGTAATTAATTTTATATTATTATTATAATTCCTAATAAAGAATTAAGATTTATTGTTATATACATAAACATCATCATACAAATATCACTATTTAATCATAAATTAAAGTTTAAATACTCTTTGATTAATTAAATATGTTAGATTAAAGTATTTAAATTGATATTATATAATTTTGAATGTAAATTGGAAATCAAATAAGATTATATTAGAAAATAACTTATATTTTTATGGTATTAGTAATTTTAATTATGGACTTATATATAATAAATATATATATTAACATTTTCATATATTTATTTCATACTCTTCTTATTTATATAATCCCATCATTAATTCTAATGATTATAAACTCTATAAATTAGATTATATATTCAATATCATAGTGAATAGATCAATTATATTACATCTTCATTTTTAGCAATTATTTATATAAACTGGATAATGAAGAATTTTTTTTTCAATAATTAATGACAATGTTAAATTCATTGAACCCGTTTATTTACTCAAATTTAACGCAAAAGCCTTAAAAAAATTTCTGATTTTTAATTAAATATATAAATTGAAAATTAATTACTCATCATGTAATTTATGAACGAGACCTTTTACAAATAATGCTTTTAAACTTTGTAAGGGCTTTTTGAATTAAAACTGATATCAAAGGATGAGAAGCTATATTTGAAAGGTTAAATTCTCAAACTTGAAATCAATGCTGATGATAGTACTTCACTTGAAGATCTATCGAAATTCCTACTTTCTTGTTTGAAATAAAAACATCACCACTTTATCAAAGCACCAACTAAATCCTAGTTGGATATGATAGATGAAGAGACAGATGAAGAGTAACTTTGAATTGTTAAATTTCTGGATAAAACTAAATAATGACTATATGTGTGTGTATTATATTTGAAACAAATATTGTTAATTACATGTCTTATCATAGCTCTCTTAGTTCAAGTGTGTTTATCAATAATAAATAAAGAAGAGGATATTCAGTTTTTCAACTATTTAATATAATTAAGCAAGTTGAAAAATTTTCATTATTTTATATAATCCTAAAAAATACAACAAGCGACTAAATTCAGAAACCATCTATAATACATGTAACAAATTATGATGAATTATATAATAATTATTTATCTTTTTGAACATTCTCAAATAAATCAACTAAATCAATTCTAAAAGTTCAGTCATTTACTTTTTATTTTCAATAATCCCTTCAAATTCCAAAAACCTTTAAATGTTTTACTTCTGTTAGTATATCCACAACATAACATAGAATAAGAAAATAGATATCAGCTTAATGGCTGAAATAAAGGCTATTCTATATGAAAAATTAAATTAAAAATTATTACAACTTTTAGAAACTCAATACTTATTTAGATTATTAATTTGATGATATATTAAATAATTTATCATAAATTGAGAAATATCTTATAACTACAATATTGGTTGAGAAGAAAAAAAATATAGAAGTCAGTATGATTAACTTAACTTATTGTTTTAGAATTAACAATATATATTATAATATCATATTATGTTCAATATAAAATGAGATTTAATTATCAAATATACAATTAAAATTAAATAAATATTAATTTAGTGTTATTGAATTATTATATATAAATAGTCATATATATGATTAGAAATAAACAGGAAATAATTTATACATAAAAAACTTTGAGAAAATAGTATTACCATAATGTTTATAAATAATAATATAATTTAGTATATCAGAATATTATTCAATATTAGGTAAATTATTGAAGGAAAATTAATAAACATAAAATAAAATCTTAGATTGATATGCATTCAAATTCTTCTTTTCTATCTCAAATAAACATTTTGAAATCGAGTAAAATATAGAACACTTGTAATTTATTAATTAATAATTATTAGTTAATTTACTTACACTTTGAATAATTAAAACACTTATAATTATTTTAATCATTATTCAATCTATAATATTGATTTTTAAACATATTTATTTTATCTAATGATAGTAATATAAAAATCATATACTTAAAATAATTTACTAATTCATGAAAGAACTTCAAGAAGAATTCGAAAATAATGGAGAGAAATAAAGATAAAAATTTTTAAAGCATTTCTATGAGATACTTGATGTATTGATGTAAATATATTTTATAGAATCCTAAAAATGATTAGATCATAAGATGGCATGAACATGGGTTTTGTTATATGGAATGTAGATGAATTTAAGAAACAATTATTACCTTCCAATTTTAAACACAATAATTACCAAAGTCTAATGAGATAGCTTAATAAATATGGATTCAAAATCAAATCTAAAGAAAATTAACAAGCTTATTTTACTTATCCTACTATTAGAAAGAACAATAGAGAACAATAGAGAAACAATTAGAGTTTTATAAATCAAAAAGAGTTTATAAAAAATAGATTACCAAAAAGAATTAAAAGTCTTAAAAGTATAATTAGACAATCTCAAAGAAGGATAAAAGATCTTAAATAAATAGTTTTAACTTTCAATAAAAATTATGATGAAATTACAATCCCATTATGCTAAATTGAATATGGTAATGTTATTAATATTATCTAGATGACTTTGCATACTGTTGGATTTGCAAATATATTTGGAAATCTCTTATATACAAATCATAAGAGAATATGGGGTAATATTGGAGGAGATCTTTTTCAGGTATCAAAGTAACATCTAAATATAAGTTATAACTTAATTCAATTGTTTAAGGATTTCCTGAACTCTTAGAAACAAGAATGCCAACTCCTTTTATGAGCAACTTAGGAACTCCATTACCTTTTTATCAATTTATTGGATAAATGAAGGAATTCACAAGTTTACTTCTTTAATGATATGTTAGAAAATAATAATTTTTATAAAAAATAATCTAATTTTATAATTTCTTATATATTGTTAATTAATACAAAATGACAAAAATTAAAGGGAATCCAAATTTCTTCGAAGTTTATATCATCGATAAAACATAAAATAATTTTCAGAAATAATTTCCTTTAGATTATTTATTAGTGATAAATAATAATAATTATTCAATTTTTTTACTTTTATTTTAATTAAATTTCCCAGCAAAATCTTATATAATTAATTTTAATTGTTTTTTCTCTTGGATCTATTTTGATCAATATATAACTAAAATACTTATAATTTTAGATAAATATATTTTATATTTTCTTAAAGAAATTTATTTTTTAATGGATTTATATGAAGAAGAGCCAGAATTCATTCGCAATGTAAATTTATTAAAATCCCCACCAAACTTCTAATAGGCAGAGAATCATAGCGTAAATAAGTATATTTAATTGATAGAAAGCTCAAATTATTCATAAAGAAGTTATAAATGATTCATAAAGATGTTCTTGTTGTAACTTACATATTAATTCAATAAAATATCCTCTACTAACAGATTTAAATGAATTTATGGTGCATGGTACAGCATACAAATTCTTTTTATTCATTAAAATTAACTTTATCCTTCTTAGCATTGTTTTGTAAATTTTGATTATAATAAATAGTATTATTGCTGGGATTTACAATTTGATTTAGAATTTTAAAGGAGATTAATGCATAAAACATGAAATCTGTCAATAAAATCTATATAATTTATTGTCGATCTTTAATAGATTAGATTCTGAATTTGATGGTATGTTATAATGATAAGTTTTTAGACTACATTTTGGATACATTATATTTCATATCCATTTTGATATAATTAGCCTTCATTCGATATATATCATGTTATCAAAATGTTAATTATAATTTGGATTAAGAAATTGATAGTGAATTAACTATATCAGAATGTTCAGTTTAGATACAAGATGTTAATACTTAATGGGACAAAACAACAATAATGGATTATCTTGTGAATTATCAATCAAAAAATAATGAAAAATTTAACATTATTGATTGTTGCTTGATTTATAATCAAGAACATTTTGAAAATTAATTAAAAGTTAAAATAAGGGAAATATTAATTCAAAATAATGATATGTTGAAATATAATTATTATTATAAGCTCTTTGAAAAATGTCATTAATAGAATTGTAGATCAAATTTATATTTTGCATAATAGAGAATAATTTTTGAAATTTAATGGTGAAGTATTAATAACACTTTCTTATGAAGTAATAATAATATTATTTATTTTTAAGAAGGAAGCTATAAATTTTAAAAAAGCAATCGGAATTGATTATAAAGTAGTTAAATGTCCAAGGCCTACAGATGTAAATTGGAGTCCTAACTTTTAAGTCTATAATATGAAAAGATTTTGTATCAAATATCTTATTGGATTTTGTGTCCTAATAATTGTTATACCTATATAATAGGCTAAAAGTGAATATATTATAAAAAATCATGGTAAAAGTGGAAATTAATTATATTTCAATATACTTTTGAGTTTATCAATTGGAGTTTTGTTAATGGTGTTGAGAAAAATATATTATTACTTAATGCTTTCTAATTTCTAGGATATGATGTAAAAAGTAAATAACAAACGGATCAAACCTACCTTAGAATCGATTCAATATAATATAATACTCTTATTTTAATTCATAGTAAGTCTTTCTGGTATAAAATTTGACGAGGATGATGTAGAGAAAAGAAAAACAATGATTTGGTGTTCTGGTGGGTTCAGTTAAGATATTATTAATATCATACTGATTAATGCCTTCTCAATTATTATACTAAGTATAATAGATGATGTATAAGTTTGGAAATTCATAAAAATTATTTATTACAAATATTTTAATAAGAATTCTACTTTAACATAATTTGAAGCTAACTAATTAATGGCTAAAAAAATGAATTTCAATCAAAAGAAGTTTGATTTAATTCTTTTGATTGGATTATGCTCCTTTTGTGGTTATATGTATCCCATATTTTATCTTATTACTCTCATAACTTTATTTATTATCTACTGGATTAATAAATATTAAGTTATCAATTATGGAGTTGAAGAAGAATTCAAATTCGAATTTTATGGTTTTAAATTTGATATATTGAATACCTTACTTTTTTAGTTGGTATCAATGAAAATTATTAATAGTGTGTTAAAAATTTCACCATATACTCAACCATCACTCTATATCGTAATTATCATTTTGTTCATATTAACTATCCTTTTTAACTATTACCCTAATTGGCTTTTTTAAAAGTAAACCAGATATTATTAAAAGAATGAAGATTTAATAAAAAGCCTTTAATAATGATTTATACTCAAAATGCAATCCACTAATTGATGAATCTCTTTTGCTTAACGAATAGTATGAAAAATGGGAATAATAATATGTTGAAGGATTGCAATTAAATAAGTCTTCAAGATAAGCTAAATTTTACAGTGCTCTCTAATTGAAATTGTTGAGAGAATTTGAAAGAGAATTTTAATAGGTATTGTATAATTAGATTAATAGAGTTCAATTTAAAAAGTCTAAATATTGCCAGTTGGTTGAATATATCTGAGTAAAAGAGTTTTATTGATATAATTATTATTTAGTAATCTAATATTATTGTACAATTTTGTATTTTTACCAATTCAACATTTTCCATAAAAGTCAATTAATCTTAATTACAGTATTAACACTAATATCAGAAATAGATTAATGTAATAGTTAATCAATTATTTATATTTATACTATTAATTTTAATTTCTGCTTAAGTATTATACTATTATTTCAATTTATATATATTTATACTCTTTAATTAATCAAAAAGTCTTATAATATATAAAACATAAAACTATTAATAATAATAAATTGATTTATCGATAAATAATAATAGCACTTTCAATAACAGATAGATAACATGAACAAATTTTCAATATTTAGAATTATTTATTCTCTAATAAAGGGCTTACTAGTTATAATTATAACTATAGGTATTGAAGTGAATAAAGAACTCAAAAATTAACTTGTCCAGTAAATTATTTTATATATAATTATTTATTAATAAAATTTAGAAAAAGAGAGTTTTTCATATTCATTATTAGATATATAGAAGAACTTACTATACATTTTCACCTTATTATTAATGCATATTAAATGAAAAAGAGAATAATCTTTTAATATATTAAGTTTATATTATAATTATACTTTTTGAAAATGCGTTTATATTATATTGTTGGAATATTGTAAATGAGAATTATAACTAAAATAAAACTGTAATCGTATTAATATACAAAATATTTGAAAGTGTAGAAGTGATAAGTCTTATTATATAAGAGTATTCCACTTATTTATACATATTTACAATGATTTATTCTTATACTTACCTGAAGCATATTAGGTTTTAATTTAAATGAAAAAGAATACTTCTCATTATAAACCTTACAATAGAAACAAGTTATTTATGAATATCTAACAATAATAATAAGGAATTTAAGTAACAAATAAGATGAGAAATGGAATAATAAAATTATACTGATATCACTCATAAATACAATAGAGAAGTTATATATAAAAATTACATCAAATTTATTGTACATTTACATTTCTTCTTTATATAATTGAATTAGTTTGAATGTTTAACTTCAATTTCTTTATTTTTTTGGACTTTTTATTAGGCAACTACTAATTTTAGATTTTGAGTTGTTTAAACAAGGATTTAATTTCAAAATCCTGTTCTATTTGACAATACTCCGTTAATTCACTATCAAAAGATTCTGATTTGAACTGCATAATATGGATGTCTATATATTATTAATTTATTTGTTTTTTAAATAATTAAGAATCATGATTTATGTAATCGTCATAAATTGAACTGGATTTTATATATTATATTGATCTCTTTTTTTACCATAAAAAATAATTTTCATTCCTCTATTAAATATCTATTATATTTACATCAAATTGTTTACATTTTATGATATGATATATAAAATAACATTCCATATTCAAAAAAGAAATGTTGAATATACTATTTCCATAATTGATAAGAATCTTTCAATTTTGAAGAATTGATCTTTAATCATTATTTAACATACAATAGACTAGGTAGTGAATACTTATAGTAAAGTATTGCTTATCTAAATGAATTATGTTTGATTGATGTATGTACTGGAAATAATATCATCATATTGTGTTTATTGTGAGTTAGTATTTTAATCAATTGTTATTCTTGTTTGTTTGATTATCAGAAGATCAGACTAAATAAAATGGTGGTTAGGATCAATAAATTATAGTTTAAATTATTATTAATTACAATTATATATATTTTTATGTAAAATAAATTTTTAAATCACATAACCCATTTAGAGGCTGAAAATTCTACATCATCTGAATCTCATTGGTTGTTGATTACAGGAATTATAGTAGGCAGTTTGATTGGGATAGCTGGATTAGTTTTTGGCTACTTTAAATATAGATAATATAGGGTGTATTAAGAATATTCATAGAGACCTGAGAATGGTATTCCAAAAGAGAAAATTGGATTTGCTTAACGAAACAAATTTAGATTCTGGAAATTGTATGAGAATAAAGATGAGCCCAATGATGATCTAGTGAAGTAACAGCAAAAAGAAAGTATATAAGAAGCAGCGAACTTCAGATTATTACGGGTAGTATATCGAGTTGACCTTCCTGTGTAAGCCTGGTGATACATTAACCATTAGAGGAGACAAGCCAGTAGCAAGAGATGCTATATCATATTTCGAGATTGAAATAGAAGATAATCCAAGAAATTGTGACATTATAATAGGATTTTGTTCATCTAAAGAATTTCAGAAATAATTTTCTTTGGGTCGTTCATAAACCAGTGTAGGATTCCATTCATAGACAGGTTAAGTATATTGGAGAAGCAATTTACATCAAGATCATAAATTTTAAGCTGTCTATGGAGAAACAATTGGAATTGGTATTAGATAGAAGGATGGAAGAGTTTGGTTGAGTTATAATGGGAAATTCTTGAATCCTCCACCTGCAAGTGAAGGGAAAAGCAAGGAGGATATGGAGAAGGAGAAATAAAAGGAAGAAGCAGATAGTGAAATTGATATTGGTGAATAAATTAAATTAATAATTTTATAGACTTGAATAATAAGAATAAGGAGATTGAGGAAACTAGGAAAGCTTTGATTTTGAGTATGGGATAGAATCTAGAATTGTATCCAGCTATTAGTGTAAATGGACGTTGCAAAATCAATTTGAATGTAGGAGGAATGCAGTTTAGAATGAATCAAAAGGAATTGAAATAAGGATTATTGCATTGATTGATAATAATAACAATAAATATATATATATATATTTTTTATAATAATATGAAGTCAAGTCTCAAGAAGAATCAAATAGTCTGGGCTAGAACAAAAGGACGTAAATATTTTAATTAATATATTTAGATCCATGGTGGCCTGGAACTGTAATTATTTTATTTATCTTATTAAGATTACCTAAGTATTTGATGGAAATTAATATGCCATTAATTTCATTGGTGATGATTCACAGTAAGGGTACATTCACAATATATATAGCTCCATATTGATGAATGATAATCTTTTTGATTTTCAAGAGAAATTTGAAGAATTCAACGATAAAGTTAAAAAAAACAAAAAATTGAAAGAAGCAATACAAACTGCATTAAAACTTTAAAGTATTGCTTTTATAATTATTAGAAAAATAAAATAAAAAGCATAGTGATAGTGAATAAGAGGATAAAAAGAAAAATACAAAAAGCAAACTAAATTTACGTAAAAAACCTGAGACTCCTAATAAAGAAGTATTTTATAATATTAATAAGAATACAACAAAATCTCCTTTATAAGAAACTCCTTAGATGCAATAAAAAAAATAATATCTAGATAGAGAATTTTAAGATTTATTGTTATTATTGATAGCTGCATAATTGAATTACGATTAAATTAAATAGAAATTGACACCAATTCTAGATACTATTGAAGCATAAGTGGCTCAAAATAGTACAATTACTGAAGTATTATCTGAGAGGAAAGGTTCCATTCTTAATGCTGTCTATTTAATATTGAAACATTAAAGTGAATAAAATCCAGATCACTTTTTTTAACGAGATATTCATTAATAAATAACAAGATTGCATGATTTAATTAGTAAATTAAAAAACTCATTATTGAATCAATTCTTCAATGCAGCTAATGTTATTTAAAATTTATCAGGAAGTAATTAATTAATTTATACTAATATTTTAGGTTAAGTATTCACATCAATAATAAATCAAGATAATTAAAATGAAAAGAAAACATAATAAGTTTAATAAAAACCATAACAAAAATAGATTATAGAGAATCCATCATAAACAAAAATACAAAAAAAGAAAAATAAAAATGAACATAAAATATAGAATAATTAATGTAATACTTAAATTCTTGAGAATAATTCTGTTTAAAATAATAATCCATCTAATTAATAGAAAAAAGAATAAATTTCTAATGAGGAAGCAAAAATTGAAGATAAGAAAAATGTTAATGAATAAACTAAAATAGTTAAATAAGATGTAGTTGTTTAGAAAAAAACATAAAAAAAAAATGAAATACCAGATTAAGCTTTAAGAAGAAAAGTTTGTCTGAATATGTTAGAATTAGTTTAATTGTTAGGGATGGAAGAGGAATAAGCTAAGAAAATTACAATAAAAATTGAGAGTTTAGGGAGGGAAGCAGATCCATTAATGAGAAATAAGTATGCTAAATTGATGTGGCATTGCATAGTTAATTTAGATGTATATAATAGATAAATGTGATTTTAGTGTAAATTATTAAAAAGAGAAGAATTATTAAATTTGATAGATGAGAATGCAGATCAAAGTGAAGTTTGGACTAAATTAACATTATAACCATTAGATAGAACAAGGAAATTGATTCATATATGATTTTAAATTGAATTTTATAATTATATATAATTCATTTCTGCATAAATTATTTATATCTTTCTGAATCCAATTTTTATTATTGATTATTAGGAAAAACTAATTTCATACTCTCTTATAGATCAACATCATTTCCAGTAAAATTGAATCTTTTTTAATTTAATTCAATCATTTTCTCTTTGAATATTAGATCTTCATTATCATAAAATACTTATTCCTCACTTTTTGATCTTATTTCATTATCATTTTATTATTCTTATTAAAATTATTATTCAAATTGATTTACTTCTTATTCAATTATTTATTTAGATTATTCTTATTTCTTTTTCTTTCCTCTCTTTTATTTTTTTAATTCTTTTTTTGATTAAGATTATTAATTTTCATCGTTTATTTAATTTTCTACTTCCATATTATCTCCTTCATTATTATCCTTCTTTTATTTCTTTTTATTTTTTTCTGGTTAAATTTATTATTTTAATTTTAATTCTTCTGCAATTCTTTAAAATTTTTCTTTTCTTAATTTATTCCTTCTACCTCTTTCTGTAGCTTCATCTTTACTAGGATCCCATTCATCTTCTAAATGTCTTTACTCTTTACTTATTCTCTTTTTCTTCTCATTTTCTTCATC